TATGATCCCAGCATCCTACAACAATTAAATGCTTTACTTAGCTTTGAAATTGGTAAAATGAAATGTTGCACTGTGAATGTTGTTTCATTCATCGTTTCATCCCACTCTAGATGATGTGGCCATGTTGAAAACAGTGTAGTGAAACTGCCTAAGTGGTGTGAGTGTAGCGATCATTTTCATGCCAACTAAATTAATCTTCGGAACCCTACACCAAAACAAATTCTCCCGAGTACCGAGACACAATATACTCTAGCTATGCACATCCAGTTTAATTAGTTTAATTATCCTTGTGTGAAAGGATAGCATGTCGCTTTTCATACTGGGTGATGCTTTACTTTCTTTTTAAACCCTGCCACGTACATTGATGGTGCCATTAGCGGTTAATTATTACTCTAAACTTAGCTAATGAAGATACCGCTGCATAAAACTAACATGTCCGCATTAGAAAAACGAAGTGGCAGGGTAGCTATAGCCTATAGGGAGCGGGCTGCGCGTTTATGCAACGTCAGGAAGTTAGGTGTGTTCACATATTTTTCTCGAATCTTTTTATAGAGAAATATATTTTACTTGCAATTGTCATCGATGCCCTCTACTCCCTCTCAAGATTGAAAAAATCGCTACAGGTGCCATTGCCTGAAAAATAGTGCCGAAGTCGAGGACTAGCTAGACTATGTTTCACCACAAGAAAACTTAACTAACTAAGGGGCTGTTTGATCCTTTCGTTTAGGAGGAATTGAAATCTAAGTAATGGATTATGCTATTTGTCTTGAAATTTGACATTTCATAACATTCTCAAGCTCACAAATAAGCCTATCTCAAATTTATAGGATGAGAGATGGAAATTGATTCTATAGATCACTATGCTATAATTCTATTCTCCAACTTATAGCACACTCTTCAACTCACTTTCCTACAATAGAAATGCAACATATAAGTATGTCTCTTTTATGCCTAACAATAAATATACAAATATATTCCATATATAACTATATTAGCTTAATTAATCTATGCCTAAATTATAATTATTAGAATGAATTCAATTCCAATGATCCAAACGGCCCTAAGTGTAATTAGTTTGTAGCGTAGCATGGAATTTAATTCCAATACTACCTTCACCCTAAAGTAAATCATCATTTTGCTAGTTTAGGACAAATTAGTATATTAGTTTTTAATAAACTATATCAAGGTTAGAAGACTTTGACCTAGACAAAATGACATACGTATTGTTTAAAAAACGGATAGAGTATTTCGATTTTGACAGCGGCATCCATCATCTTGTGGGGGCAGTGAGGACCATCCTAATCCTATGCTCTTGGACCATACTAAATGGGGTCAGCACAAAATTGCATCAGCACCTCGCATAGATGAGTGACTAGTGAGTGAGTGAGTCCTCGGTGCTGCAGCCACAGCTTTAACAGCATGTTCGGCGGCCTGTATTTGGCTTATAAGTCTTGGCTTATCAGCTAACAAATAGTATTTTTCTCTCACACCAAATCAGTCAGCAATACTTTCAGCCATGGCTTATAAGCTAATACAGCCGAAACGAACAGGCTGTTTATCTTCTCCCCCCACAACCCTAGCATGATTTTCCAATAGAAAAATACAGTAATAATGAAGTAATACGACGGGTACATAAAAAATAATGAAGTAATATGAGACGAATACATAAAAGAAAACAGGAATACAAGTACAAATACAACTAGTTTCCACGTGGGATGATAACATGCGGAAACCCATGGAGCATGCGCTGGACGAGACGAGGCTCGATGGAATCTTTCAGTGCAAATCGTGGCTAGTAGCCTACCACATGGACCACCCACATTGGCTGTCGACTCCGGGCCACATGGGCTCCGTGCAGCATGCAGGCCGCACGGTAAGATGCATGGCGGCAGTACCGCAGTAGACAGGAGAACACTGCCGGACAGCCGGAGGCCGGAGCGAAGCTGCAGCTCGACCGTGGAAACGAACGGCCGTTTTGGATGGATGGAGTCTGCTGGAGAGAGCCCCGGGGGTGCGGTTGGTCTTGGACGCAAAGGCCCCTGGTCCTTGGACCTGGAGCCGCGGACGGCGGAGTCCATTCAGTGGGATGACACGAATTCCCTGTCCTTACCCGACAGGACGGCATGGACTGGTCGACGATTGGTTGCCCGTCACCTTGTTCGCAGCTCGCCTTGGATCTAGCAAGGATTCGTTGCATCGCCGCAGTTTTACTAGTTTCAGTTCTCCCGCAAAGACACAGCAAAGGTTTTGCACATATAGCCCCAAAGTGTAATCCGTTTGTCGCCTGGCTAGTATTTTTTTTAATTGGTAGTTTGAAAATCGATTTAGCGGATGTTGACTCTTATCTTGTTCTGAGAATGAACAATTTAACTCTAGTGAGAGTAAAGGTTTATCCTGTAGTGATGAGAACGTCATAATGAATCATCAATCGTATTCATCAGGTTAACTGCTCGAGTGTGGACGTGTGGTGAAAACAAAGAGAGATGGCTACAGTAGGCCCTGAATTATTGGAAACCTTCGTACATGCACGATGGTATCCACGTGCTTGCCATGTTTTTAGCATTATTTCAGCAAATAAATAATAGTTTTTTCTCCCACAATAAATCAGCATCAGCAGCAGCCAAATTTCAACGAAACGAACAGAGTTGTTACTCGATAACACTAGTGAAGTCTCGGCTACATCACCTAGTATCTAGCAACAAGGAAGATAATTTGGTAATTTATGATTGAAAGTACTCTCTCTTTCTTTCTTTTTTCTAAATTATAAGTCACTTTGGTTTTGTTTTAAGTAAAATACTTTTAACTTTAACCCATTTTTTGAATTTTTTAACTGTTATAAATGGAACCAAAGTATTCTACTAGCAAAATAAAATGGATACAAGAACAATTAGTAACATGGGACCATGGTGAGCATAAAAGAGAGTGTGAGAACAGGCAATATCACAGGAAGCCATAATACAAATGGCATGAGTAGGGAGGAGGTTGTTGGTGTGTGGTAAGATTGTGGCACTGCACACGTTTGTAGAAGGAATACAGTCAATATGAGTAAAAAAAATGACGAATCAAGCTAGAGTATATATGTACGTATATAATATGAATCTAATTGTGGTATTGTGTGCCACAATTGTCATAGATTCATGGTTACTTCAACCTTTCTTTCTTTTTTGCAAACGTGTCTTGTAACACGTATTTCATTAAGAAGAAGTAGAGTTTAACCGGTTACAACTAACCCAGGTACTTCAACCTTTCTAATGGTTGTTCTTCACGTTCTTCAACATTAAAAATGGTTGTCCTGGCTTCACTATTATGCATGGCTGGTGATGTACTTGCCAGGTAAATCTAGCGCCATGACCTTCCCTTAACCCTGACAGACTCCAATAAGCCCCTAACTCAAAACATTAACCTCGTTGTAGTTGAAGAAGGAAATGCCTGTTCGGCTGGTATTAAAGCCGTCTGAAGCTGTTTTGTTATGAGAGAAAAATACTGTAGATAAGCTGGCTGATAAGTTCAAGCGAACAGGCTATCCATAGGATGAATCAGAGAACGAAGACGAGTGGAGAGGGAGAGATAGAAAAAAATATCAAGTGCAGTAGAAGAGAAGAACACGGCATTACGTTAGCAATTTAGCATCCTCGTAATTAGTAATTGTTAAATAGGAGTATAAACAACCTTGCAACTGTGCATGGTTCGTGTCTGATTTCGACTGAAACCGTAGTGGGATTTTTTTTGTTTGAAAGTAAATATAGAGTAATTTTTAAATCCAAGCTGACCTCAGCATACAGCGTTGATGGTCCTTTGACAGAAGATCCTGAGTGAGTTCTGACCATGCCTTTGTCCCCAGGTGGGCTAACGAGGCCTTGTTAAGTTTACTTTCTATCCCATCGAACCTATAATACATGCATAGAATATTAAATATAGATTAAAAAATAATTAATTGTACAGTTTACGACTAATTTACGAGATAAATCTTTCAATTCTAATTAGTTCATGATTTGACAACGTGGTGCTACAGTACACATGTGCTAATGACGAATTAATTAGACTTAATAAATTTGTCTCGCGAATTAATAACGGATTCTATAATTTACTTTTTTTTTTATTTTTATCAAATACCCATACCCAAGACTTTAATTTAAACAAGGCCTCACCTTTCCGCGCAAAAGATGAGATGAGATGGGACTTTAATTTAAACAAGGCCTCACCTTTCCGCGCAAAAGATGAGATGAGATGGGTGATCCTCTCAGCCGGGCCTATCTCCTCAGCCGGGCCTACCGCAAATGGAAACAGGCTTTCCATTTTTCAAAGAAAAAAAAAACCCCGCTAACACCGTTCGTCTCCGGCGCCGGCCACCCACCGCTGCCACCAAGGGGCAAAATCGTCAACCCAGCTTGCCCCGGCGCCTATAAGAAGGTCCCTCTCCATTTCTTTAAACTTTAGTTCCAGAGCCCTTCAAAGCAAAAAATATTATCGAATATTAAAGCATTTTCCTCGTCGATATAAAAATAGAACAAAAAGGTTTTTCCTTTTCGCAACTCCGTCGTCCACCACCAACCTACTCCGATCCGGCCGCCGTAGCGTAGCTAGCGTAGCCCAATTGTCCCGCTCCGGAGACTCGCCAGAGTTTCTCCGGCCGACTAGAGGCTAGCTGTTTCCGGCGAGTTGCTCCGTCGATCTCCTCCGCACGGCTGAGGAGATCCCGCGGACGCTCGGGGGCTGGGGCGTGCATGATGGGATTTTGGTTGATTCCGATGGATACTCCGGCGAGGCTTCTGTGGAGCACCAGCTTCTTCCGCCACAAGATCGCCGCCATGCTCGCCTCCTCCTCCTGCTTCTTATAGATCCCACCCCTCACCGTCGTCGTCGGCAGCTAGCTAGCTCGCTAGCTTCTGTACATACGTCGACGCCAGCCATATAGATATTATTAGTCTTCATCCACTCCCGATTAAGTAATAATTCAGGCAAAGAATCTCCAAGCTTTTGCCTCGATCTTGCATTGATCCATGGAGTCCGGACGGCTCATCTTCAACGCGCCCTGCTCCGGCGCCGGGCAGATGCTTTTCCTGGACTGCGGCGCAGCCGGTGGTCCTGGCGGCGGTGGCGGCTTGTTCCATCGAGGTATTAGTCCCATCCAAATCTCTTTGTTTGCATCTTCGTTCGTACGTGGTGCTTCCTTCGATTTCGATCTTCGCTTGGAATTCTCGTGTACTGATTGGGGTTGCCATGTGGGAGTGATGAAGGCGGGAGACCGATGCTGCTTGGCCTTGAAGAAGGGCGCGGCGTAAAACGGCCCTTCTTCACCTCGCCCGACGAGCTCCTCGAGGAGGAGTACTACGACGAGCAGCTGCCGGAGAAGAAGCGCCGCCTCACCCCGGAGCAGGTAGTCAACTACTCTTGCCACCTAGCTACAAGGCAACACGTAGAGGCATGGCGTGGCCTGACCTGACGCGTGCATGGGCATGGCGCGCGCCCGTGCAGGTGCATCTGCTGGAGAGGAGCTTCGAGGAGGAGAACAAGCTGGAGCCGGAGCGCAAGACGGAGCTGGCGCGCAAGCTGGGCCTGCAGCCCCGCCAGGTGGCCGTCTGGTTCCAGAACCGCCGCGCCCGGTGGAAGACCAAGCAGCTCGAGCGCGACTTCGACCGCCTCAAGGCCTCCTTCGACGCTCTCCGCGCCGACCACGACGTCCTCCTCCAGGACAACCATCGCCTCCGCTCACAGGTATATCCTCTCGATCGCCCTTAGCAACCGAGCAGAGCTTTCTTCCATGGCGGTCTCCAAGTACGTTACTGATGAAGATTCGGCGATCTGTACGTGTTGTGGTTTCATTCAGGTGGTGTCGTTGACCGAGAAGCTGCAAGAGAAGGAGGCAACGGAGGGCGGCGCCAGCGCTGCCACCGACGCCGCGGCGTTGCCGGCGGTGGATGACGTCAAGGCTTCCTTGGCCGATGACGTCAAGGAGCCAACAACAGAGCCGGCGGAGGAGGAGGAAGCGGCGTTCGAGGTGCAGCAGGTGAAGTCCGAGGACAGGCTGAGCACTGGCAGCGGCGGGAGCGCTGTGGTGGACACGGACGCGCAGTTGTACAGCGCCGGCGGCCGGTTCGCCGCGGCCGTTGATAGCAGCGTGGATTCCTACTTCCCCGGTGGCGAGGACCACCACTACCACGACTGCGGGATGTGTCCAGTAAACCACGGCGTGGGAGGGATCCAGTCGGATGACGACGGCGCCGGCAGCGACGAGGGATGCAGCTACTACGCCGAAGAAGAAGCCGCCGCCGCCGCCGCCGCCGCGTTCTTCGCCCGACACACCCACCACCACGCGGACGAGGACGAGGACGAGGACGCCGGCCAGATCAGCTGGTGGATGTGGAACTAGCAGAACAATCTTCCCGCGGGGATCGGCCGTCAAATCAAATCTTGTGCCAAACAAAAAATCGTGCCGTAATTTTCTTTTGCGCAACGTTGTTGTAAGTGTAAGCCTGTAATGGTGAACTATATTCCTAGCTATGGTTACGGTGAGAAAGTGTATGCATGCATGGTATGGTAAAATTGGGTAATTAATATTGTTAATCCCAATCACTCGTGGCGTTGGAGAGAAGATCAATAGAGTTGTGGGAGAAATAAGTGCAGAGGCAAGTACTTTTTTATGGCACAGTGTCTATGTCAAATCAGGTGTTACCAATTGGAGTTTTAAAATTTACTGTATGCATTTTCGCATGATTAACTGTGATCAGTTAAGAGTGAAGCTGAAATTGCTAGTGAATTAATGAATGTAACAGTTCCTGAAAGTGTTCTGTAGGTTCAGGTCTGTAGAAAACAAAGAAACCATGACCAGCAGTTGGCCAGTCGCAGTAGATGCAGCCTATATAACATTCAGCTTCCAATTGCGAGTCAACAGATAGCATCTAGGAGTAGTCACTACCGGAATGCCAAGCTTTGCCGTGTGTCCACGGCACACGGCGAAGCCCAAAAAACACTTGACAAATGGCACTCGGCGTACACAGTGCCGGCAAAGATTTCTTTGCCGAGTGTTTTCCATCGTGCAGTGCTAAAACCGATACTCGGCAAAAACAATTTCGAAACATATAAAAAAGCCGCCCACCCGCGACACGCTCGCCGCCGCCGCCCGCCGCCCCGCCACCACCACCAGGCGCCACCACGCGCCACCACCACGCCGCCGCCCACCACCACCCCGCCGCCACCGCCACCACGCTCGGCGCCACGCCGCCACCACCACGCCGCCGCCACCACGCCCGCCACCACCACGTTCGCCACCACCACGCCACGCACCACCACCACGCCCGCCACCACCACGCCGCCACCACCACCACCACCAGCCACCACCACGCCCGCTACCGCCACCACGCCGCCACCACCACGCCTCTGCCACCACCACGCTCGCGACCACGCCCGCCACCACCACGCCGCTGCCACCACCACGCCCGCCGCCGCCACCACGCCCGCCACCACCACGTTCGCCCTCTCCCACCGGATCCGGCATCCGGCCACCGGGATCCGTCCTCTCCCGTTGGGATCCGGCCTCCGGCGCGCGCGAGAGAGAGAGCTGCACCGCCCGTCGGAGAGAGACGCACTGCCCGCCGTCGAGAGATGTGAGGGAGAGAAGAGCTGTAGGGGGAGACGTGCGAGTGACGGCGTCGGGAGGGACGGTGGAGAGGGAGAGGGAGGGAGGGGAGGGGGCGGCGACGCCACCGGGAGAGGGACACCGGGAGAGGGAGGAGAGGGTGGGAGGGAGGGGGCGGCGGCCGGGAGCTTTTTATAACGTGTCGAGTTTGCCGAGTGTCGGATCGACGACACTCGGCAAAGATAGTTTTGCCGAGTGTCAGATCACAGCACTCGACAAACTTATCTTTGCCGAGTGTCTAGGGTTTGGGGCACTCGACAAATATATTAGTTATTTTTTCATTTCCTTTCCTTTTTTGTTCGATGTACTTTGAAAATACCTTGTCAAATTGACTCAACAATATATATATATATGATTTTTTTACGAATATGATTCAATTATTTTATGCAGTTACAGCTCAAATTTAATTTATATCAATTAAAATTCTATAATTGCACTTAATAAATTAAAATTATCAAACGGATCCAAAAAATTACCAAAATTTCACGTGAAACAATATGTGTTCTCTATTGCCTATACAAAAAGTTTTGAAGTCAAACCCCAATCCGACCGTCACTTTGACTTCAAATCTTGCCGATTCCTTCTCAACGCTACGATTCTTCTTCTGAGATGCTTCGGTTTGTAAACATCGTACGTGATAAATTGTGCGAAACCTTCTCAATTTTTTACCACAACCTCCACGTATGATATCATCACATCATGACAAATCTCTTGATTTTCAGACTTCGTTTGTTTTTTTTAGAATTTAAAAACTATTCGGCCACACATTCGTGGTCGTGTTTCCTAAACAAGATGTTTGAAATTTCTTTTCATTTCCCGGGTAAGGCCTCACACTGAACTTAATAACATAAATATTATTTTTCTACTCATTTTATTCTATTATTTGAATCACTTACGGTTCAAATTAGACTTATACAAAAAAAATCATAGAAATACAATAAATTAATTAAATATAGCAAACGGATCCACAAATATATCAAATTTTAACATAGAATACCACATCTTGTATGTTGAGAGTAGAAAAAGTTTCAAGGTCAGAAGAGAAAAAAATAAAATTATTTGTCGAATGTCAAATAGTTACACTCGGCAAACATATTTCTTTGCCGAGTGCCAGACAATTACATTCGGCCAACATATTTCTTTGCCGAGTGCATAGTTTTGCTTAGTGTTTTTTTCTAGTTTGCCGAGTGTCTAACTTTGCCGAGTGTTTTTTACATCGTTTGCCAGTGTAATTATTTTGCCGAGTGTTTTTTCGTAGCACTCGACAAAGACCTTGTTTGCCGAGTGCCCGAGAGAATGCACTCGGCAAATATAAAAACACTCGGCAAAGAGCCGGTTTCCGGTAGTGAGTATAAATCATGCCACTGAATTCTTTGTTTAAACCAAAACGTAACATGTCCCTAAATGATTGGCTAGTGGTCTGTGAATGAAACATGGCAGCACGCAGTGTTGCTTCAGAACAAACACAGGGTACTTTGGTTAACACCAAATTAAGTATAGATCAGTGCGCCTGGAAAGCTTAGAACATGTTAAACAGGTCTTCCACTTGCGCAATACCAACATGAGACAGATGCAACTTTCTCGCTCTCCCTTTCATCTTTTTCAGACATGCACAAACAGGAAAACTGAACAAGAGTGGTGGCAACTTTTCACATTCATTACACAGAAAATGGATAGCTTTCAGTGAAGCATGCAAACGGTTGGCCCTGGCAAATCTGTTTTCCATTCTTGTTCCGTAGCTCACTAGCTTGCGTATTATAGTAAGCATTTACTAGATATTCTATAGGTGGGTGTTGACAGCGCAATCGATGGAGAAATGGATGTCCTCTAGCAAATTTGACGATCAAACAATCTTGTTTGGTAAATTTCACCGATTTATCTAGGTTTTTTATGTTGGCACGGTGAATTTCAGTTTAGACTTTAGAGGAGGGTGAGTAGTGTGAGAGAAACGGATATCTGATTGGCTTTGCATGCACTCTCTGTACCCACAGGATAACTTAGTATGGTGAAAGGTCTTTTCGTCGAATATATCTGGAAAAGCTAGCTTGTGGTGATGTGGTCTCGTGGAGATAGAACAACAGGAACTGAAAGTTGTTGCTCAACAGTGTCTAGATGAACACTGAATAGAAATGTGCGCTGGTAAAAGAAGCTTTTTTTCTCTGCTCGATCCAATCCTCTCTCAAAAGAGAAGTGTTTTTTCTCTGCTCGATCCAATCCTCTCTCAAAAGAGAAGTGTTTTTGGCCGCCACCGCCACTCCCACTGTGCTATCGCTCTCACCGGTTACTTTTTACTATTTTGCAAGGTCGATGCGTGCCTCACTGTCGGAGACCAATACTAGGATGCCCGAAGAGGAGGAGCTAATAACCATCAACATTGATTCATCCGAGTAGCCAAGAGTGCGACTACAGCTCCAACCGACCTCAGTGCGCAAGCTCCGCCTCGCCCGGCCTCTGGGGGCGGGCTCCACCTCGCCCGACACCGAGGTCACGGGCTCTGCCTCGCCCGACCTCTGAGGGCGGGCTCCGCCTCGCCCGACCCTTGGGTTTGCGCTCCGACTCGCCCGACCTCTGAGGACGGGCTCCGCCTTGCTTGACACCGAGGCCGCGGGCTCCGCCTCGCCCGACCTCTGAGGGCTGGCTCCGCCTCGCCCGACACCGAGGCCGCGGGCTCCGCCTCACCCGGCCTCTGAGGGCGGGTTACGCCTTGCCCGACCTCTGGGGATGGGCTCCGCCTCGCCCGACCACTGAGGGCTGGCTCCGTCTCGCCCGGCCTCTGAGGACGGGCTCCGCCTCGCTCGACCCTTGGGTTTGCGCTCCGCCTCGCCCGACCTCTGAGGACGGGCTCCGCCTCGCCTGACACCGAGGCTGCGGGCTCCGCCTCGCCCGACCTCTAAGGGCGGGCTCCGCTTGGTTGACCCTTGGGTTTGCGCTCCGACTTGCCCGACCTCTGAGGGCGGGCTCCGCTTCGCCCGACACCGAGGCCGCGGGCTCCGCCTCGCCCGACCTCTGAGGGCTGGCTCTGCCTCGCCCGGCCTCTGAGGGGGGATTCCGCCTAGACCGACCCCGAGGCCGGGGATCCGTCTCGCCCGACGAAGACCCATATCGCCGCCAACCACTCCAGGTCCAAGCGAATGGGCCTAGGTCAAAGCTCTGACACCAGGGAGGTGATTGGCACGCCCCGATATAACCCGTGGCCGTGACGAGCCATACTTGGGGATTCATATCAGGAACAGAGTCGGGTGTACCAGTGCTATTCTGCCTAACCCTCGTACGAGCACTGACAGGAGCATCAGTTCACCACGATGTCCGCTAGGACGGAGTGGAGCGCCACGACCGGAAGACGGCGCCTGCGCATGGCGCCAATGACGGATAGGGCCGCGACGTGGAGCTGTCCCTGTTGACGTCTATAGGGTCGGCCGGACCCACGTGAAGGAAAAGAAGGACCCGACGATTCTGGAGAACTTCTTCTCCTTCTCATCCTCCTCTTTTTCCTTCACTGTAACCCGTGCTTTCTCTTGGCCTATAAAAGGAAAAGCAGGGCGTCCCATAAAGGGCATCACAACACATCGCATCAATTGGGACTCGAATCCATCGAACCCTGAACCGACCAGAACACACAAGCACACAGCCGGGAAGCGACCGAGCTCTCGGGACCCGTTCGCTTCTCTCACCAGAGACTTGGGACCCGTCCCTCTCTTGACCGTTTGTAACCCCTACTATGAACTTTCAGTGCTAGTAACACGAGCAGCAGCAACGAACTGGACGTAGGGACATTCTGCCCGAACCAGTATAAACCTCGTGACCTTTTAGCACACCATCCAAGTCAGACGCGTAATATTAGAAATATACTAGTCGGTGGCAACTCGAAACACCGACACTCACCCTACACTCACCCTCCCATCATGAAATGGTTTGCCCTAGAACAGCGAGGCATCTTAATCCCTCGCGCTTAGTACATGCCATAAAAATACTCGTAAACCATGCCACCTGCTTGCTACGATTAAACTAATATAAGCACATGTTGTCATGCATGGGGATTTGACATTTCTTACACATGAAATCTCATCTCAAGGACAGATAAACTTTTAACGAAAGGACATATAAACTTTTGTTACCGGTATCTCTGCTGATGGTCTTCCTGAGCCTGGCATCCATGTTGATAGGGCCCTGATTGGACACGGGAGCACCTTTTGTACTAGTGTTCCTGCATTAGCATTACAAAAGCAGTTCTGTCTTGGCCGTGATTGGACACGGGAGCACCTTTTGTCTTTGTACAGCCCCCCACTCATAAACAGCCAAGATTCCATCTCGCCTCCTGGACGGCGACGTCGTCTAGAAATGCTTGTGTTTTAGTAATAAAGAGCCGCCAACATGTGGCGTGTTGGGGCCGTGTTAGCCATCTAATTGAGCCGATAATCTCGTCGCGGTAGCCGTGCTCGTCGGTTAGAAAAGAAAAAGAAAATCTGTGCCGCCTTCGGATGAGAGTATTTGGATGGGGGGCCTCGCCCCTCGCCGTCCGAGCATCTATCGGGGTTGCGATCACCCCTGTCACCGAAAGCAGAGACGTTTTCATTTCTGAAGGTGACCGCGAGACACTGATGGGACGAACGGGGGGACAAGGCGTGTGGAGTGGAGAAGGCGTGCGGCTCGGGTAGTAGCCAACCCAGCGGCGACGTAGTGGTATCAGCAGCTTATCAGGGGGGCGAGCGCCGGCGGCGTCCACGGCGAAATGAGAGGGGAGCTGAACGGTCGTCGTCGTCGCTTCAAGGGGGTCTCGTATCGGTGACTCGGTGTGCCATCCATCGACCATCGTGTTGGCTGCTTCGGCACCAACCGCTGCGAGGGGGGGCCTTCGCTTTCGTGGCGTCCCGGTCGGGCCAGCACAGCGCCGCAGTCTTTGGCGTCTTGCCGCGCTCGAGATAGCTGTCGTTTGGCTTTGGGGATCGGCAACCTGACGACGCACGGACCATAAGCGGCGAAAAAGGGAGCGTTCGGTTCGGGCGGAAGGGAGGGGGAGCCGTTCGATAGCTCCTTCGTGCAACACGACACGGCTTGCTGCCATAACGGAGCTGGAGCTGGGGGCACCGGGCACTAGCACACTGCCTGCCAGTCTGCCACGTTGGGCAGGAGCAGATGGTGTGGCCGTGTGGGGTGGAGCGGAGCGGAGGAGCCTGGATTGGATCGCAGCAGCAGGGTGGGCGCATGGCATCTGCTGGAGTCTGGACGCTTTTCTCATGTTGATCTCCGCGGTTGGCACAACCCAACCAACCCCTGCTCCGCTCGCCATGTTCCGTGTCTGGGACTGGGCGCCCCCCCCCCCCTCCACAGACCACAGCCAGGAAGCCAGCCTCGCACCGCACGCATCTCCCAATCAGCGGCTGAGGCTGCAGCACTGCAGCTTGAGGTGCCGCGGCCGGCCCCGATCCCCGTGCGTCGAAGCGGTGGGCGCGCGAGGCGGTGGTTTTGGTTGATTCAGCCTCGTGCGTTCCCGGGGCCCGGGGGTTTGATCTCACACGAATAACACGATGACGCAGCACATGCCTCGCGGATCACGATACTGCTGTTTCATCGCGCCGTCCGTCTGCGCACCTGGGCTGCCATGTGCTTGCCGCCGCCGACTGATGCTACACTCTTTTACACGGTGCAGGGGGTGTTGGTGCTCTGTCAGTCAGAAGCACACAGACACAGCTGAGCTGTTGGCACGAGTAGGCTCCTGACAAATGTGCCACGCATCGCAAATAACTAGTACTGTACTAATTCGTCCAAGGTCTGATTAACATCCCTTTTTGGTCTGTCGCGTTCTGGTCTTAAATAAATCAAGGTTCAGGCGAGATCACGCTTTTTTTGTGTGTGTGTTTTGAAAAAAAATAAATCAAGGTTAAAAGAAAAACTGTGAGCTACACGCGCCGGTGCCCATGGCCCAACCGAAGTGCCTCTCGGATTGAATCAGTACTACTACTACTACCATGGCGGCCTAACTCAACCTTTGTTTGCTGGGCCTCGTACATTCCATGGCGGCCTATCAGTTTGCAGGGCCTAACTCATCAGTTTGTAGGGCTCCTCGACAATGGCCTCGTACATTCAATGGCGGCCCATGTCTACTATTTTCATTTTTTTTCTCAACCTTTGTTTGGTAATTGGCGGTGGCGGGTCAATGATTTTTTTTACATAGAGCACTGCCCAAAAGAATACAACTATGATATGCGTGCCCGTTAAAGTACTTTACGTTTGACCAAATTTCTAGTAAACAGTATTCACATTTATGGCTTTAAATCAATTTGTTATGAAAATACATTTCATAATTAATCTAATAGTGTTTATTTAATATTATAAATATTTATACTTTTTAATCTATAATTAGTCAAACTTGGTATACTAAAACATAACACTGTTTCAGAATTGCATTCTATCGGAAACAGAGGGAGTATATCGCATTAAAATGACATCGGTGATCGCAATAACAACATCGAGCAGTTTTAATCGCCATACTAATGCGCCACGTTCACTAATCAGTCTCAGGCTCTCAGCCCTTTAGGCCACCAGAAAATTAATTAAACACCGTCATTTTCTTTATTGCCATTTTTTAAAACACAAAATATTAAAATCCAAGGAGAAAATTTACAACAAAAAGCAATCAGCAAGTATTTCAATGACATCAGACGATACTTGGGTCAAGCTACGTTTTCGCATCGCGTCTAGCGGATTTCCCCATTTGCTATTGTCTTCACCTTGCACACTCCAGCCGAAGTCATGAAAGGAACATCTTTGTAGCAGGCCACAAGCTCGCCACTGCTATGCAGGTCAGCGGCTAGCTTCTCCCAGACCTTGCTCTTGCCACTGAGAGAAGCCTCAGGCTCACCGGAGTGCCCAGCAAAGGTCACCCTCTCCCCCACGGCAGCATCCGCTGGTGGCTCAACCAACTCAACCTAAATTGCGCATGTTAAGCACTATTTTTGCATCAAAATGACTTCCTTGTACTACTTTATGATTGTGCACTTCAAATTTCAAAGTGTAACTTTTATCAAATGTGTGAGGGTATTGGATGCCTTACCCTAGTATGGTCCTCATTAGAAGCAGCCAAAACCATGGCATGTGATTTTATACCACGCATCACCACTGGTTTCAAATTGCAGAGAACACAGACTTTCCGGTTCTGCCCATTCACAGCAGATATCACAAGTCAGTGATAACAAGCAAGGCATTTTTGCAAGGAAATATCTGCAAAACCAAATCATGTCTGGAAAGACCAACCTGCATTTCTTCAAGAGGAATGTATTTGACAAGGCCACTAACCACCGTTCTTGGAGCCTCCTCTCCAACATCGATTTCCTCTACGTACAGTGAATCAGCATCTGGGTGCTTCTCTGCTTTTCTTATAAGCCCCACTCGAATCTCCAACTTTGCAACAGATAATTCTGCCTCTGCCACCTTTGATTTTGAGTTACCAGACTTTTTCTTTTGTTCCTTTTTTGAGCCTCCTGGATAATAAAAATGAGAAAACATAGACAATTACTTGCTGCAATCTGAAATAGGTTCGCAGAAAATAATTCAAACAGGACAGAAAGGTTGAAATCTACCATGAAGCTGACACTTGCATGCTCTACTTCTGTTATTGTCTTCCAAAATTACACTAGGAGCTCTAGCTCAGATTAAGCAGCAGTGGGCATCCGGGTTTGAGCCCAGGTGAGCATGGTGCTTGAAAGCACACCTGCCAACTGGACAAGTGCTTGATCTCTAGATAACGTTTCCGTAAGTTGACCAACATGAATTTTTCTCTTTGTTCCAAAATGTGCAGCAGAAAAGACAGTTCTGCGTTGTGTTCTGGGATTCTAGCAAAATTTGAAGAATAAATTGTCTAAACATTTACCAGATAATGCTATGCTGTTGAGCTGGTTAGCAATTTTTGTGGCTTCAGCGTCAGCCACTGCTTTTGAGCTCCTCTCAGCTTGACTGCCTGCATATGTTTCCCTATGCTTACTCACCTTTTCATCTTTCTGCAATGAGTTCAAGTTATGGGGTGTAAACTTATGGCCAACAAACAAAAATATTCTAAATGAAAGACGCACCAATTCCTCAAACAGAGGTACAGGCCTCCCTATTTTGTGCCCTGTTGGTACAAGATCCCAAGGGGTTTTTGCCTTCGCACTTTCGCCCTTTTCTTCACTGAAAGAAAGAGTTTCTTCTGGGGACAGGTTTAATTGACGTAGCACCTTATAGAATATACCACATAGTGAGATTTGGGGGCAAGAGAATGCTATTCGAAGAAACTCAACACTCAATAACAATTAGGACCATACTTCTTTTGAGAAGGAAGGCATGAAAGGCTCCAGCAAACAGGCAAGGAGATAGACAAGACCAACTGAAGTTTTCATCACAATCGCACAGTTTGCTGGATTGTCCTTATAAAGTTTCCAAAATTCACTGTCCTACATTAATTTTAGCAAAGCAAAAACAAATTAAGATTTACTACAGAAAAATGAGGTAAATGAAAGAAAGGAAAAAGGAATTACTTGCAAATAGCGATTTCCATCAGTAGAGATGCCCATTGCACTCTTCAGTCCTTGTTTTAGCTTAACCTGTCATAAGAAGATCAATACAATGTTAAAAAAAACTAGCAGCCGACTTGGCGCATGCCGCTGGGGTTCTGCCGCTTCACATAGTGCACGAGAGCATCATTTACCTTTTCCATTGCATCAAGATATTGTTCAACAGATTTACTGACTTTTTCTGCAATGTCACTTGTCGATGGATGTGACACAGCACCAGGAGCGTCAGGTATAATTGAATCATACCCAGCTCCTACAGAAATAACAACAAAATGAAATCTCAAAAAAGTGAGTAAGGCAAGAGGAGCGGTTATTGATCATAAATGATTAACATATCAATAAAATTCTCAGATGGTATTATATTTGATGTAAGACTGACTAACCCGCTGGTTTTGCAATAAAGCTTAGCACACGATTGATGAAGTTTCCCAAGTTGTTTAACAACTCGCTGTTCAATTTGGCTTGCAAATCGGTCCATGTAAAGAGTGTATCTGACGCCTATGTAAATCAGATCAAATGTGTTTGTTAAACTACGTAAAATGTCATAAATCAAATATCACTGGACAAGTTTTGGAAACCTCAGGTCGATTCATAAGCAGGTAGTATCGCCACACTTCAGGAGGAATATTCGTATCCTTGGCATCATTACCAAAAACTCCGATACCCTTACTCTTGGAGAATTTTCCTACAGGGGCAAGGAGTATTTAGTTATTTGTAGGAAATATATGTACACACTGCAAAATGTTTTTAAGCACAAACAAAATTCAAAGGAAATGGCAGGCTGTAGGCAACACCAATATACCAAACACATTCAAGAGAAACCATTTATAAAGCATATTTTATCAGGCATGATATATAAATGTGAAGTTCATTAAACATGTCTGAAGACAACAACTGGCATGAACTGTACAATTTGATTCATTAATTCTCCAGCAGTGCAAGATCAACATTGAGGAAATGGCCAAACATATCTTCCAATACTTGACAGGACCCAGTTCAATTAAAGAAGCCTTGTTTTTAGCAAATGTTGATAGCCCACATGATAAAATGAACTGCATACTAATCCGAAAATAACAAATAGAAAACCATAGCAACCATAGCATGTACCTCCTTCATAGTTTAGATATTCAGTGACACTAATGGTCTTCATCATTGTCCAATTTTCACCAGTTCCTAGCAGTGTTGAAGGAAACATGATCTGAAAGCACCTTCCAATCAATAAGCACTTCATAAAAAGGAGTGCTTGCAAGAAATGACAGTTCACAAGTGCCACAAACATAGTATGGAAATATTACTGTTCCTAGAAAGTATTGCTGTCAAGGAGTAGTGACTTCCTACAGATAAATAGAACTTGGAGCTATGGAAACAGTATCCAAAAAAGAGCACAAGAATGCCAATTGCTCATAATCATGTAGTGATGATAAATCAATCTCTAATGACTCAAGGAAATGTTCGCATTTTTTAGACATCATACCGTATGAAATGGTACATTATCTTTGCCCATGAACTGAAATAATTCCACATTATCAGGATTCTTCCACCACTTCTCCCACTCAGGTGTATAAGATGCTGTGATGGACACATAGCCAATCGGTGCATCGAACCAGACATAGAAAACCTGAAAATAATCAAAATGGGAAATCAGATAAATTCATAACTGTAGACTTTCTTCAGAAGTGATATGGCCGAACCTTATCTTTATACTTCTCGATTGGAACAGGAACTCCCCATTTAAGATCTCTTGTGATACAGCGTGACTTTAGTCCTTCCTTTAACCATGCATTTGTAGCTTGAATGGCATTTTGACTCCACATACCAGCTACTGAAGTATCATTAATATAGTTCACCAACTTGTCTTCTAATAGAGGGAGATCCAAGAATAAGTGATCTGTTTCACGAATATGGGGAGTATTCTTACAGGCCTACAAGGAAAACACAATGCCAAAAGGATATTCATTGCTCACATTTTAATGTCGTCTTATACAATTCGATCAATGATAAAAATACAGACAAAAAAATGACAGTGTACACTTAAGTACTGGATATGCTTACCTTACACTTTGGATCGATTAGTTCAGTTGGATTCAACATATGGCTGCAGTTATCACATTGATCACCTCTCGCAGCTTTATTAGTACACCCTTCTATAGGGCATGTTCCTTCTACAAGCCTGTCGGCCAAAAACCTTTGACATGTATCACAGTAAAGCTGCAAAGCAGAAAAAATTATTGCACAACAGATATACATATGTATCTGAATACACAAGTACAATACCACAAACAATCTGTACCTGCTGCATGGTGTTTTCTGTTAGCCAATTGTTTTCCATCAATTTATGGAAAATTGCTTGGCAGATTTCTGTCTGCTGAGGAGAGGACGTACGCCCAAATTTGTCAAATTTTATGTCAAACCACTTGTAAACCTCGCTGTGGATAGCATGGTACCTGCAGTTTTCATCAGCAAGGAAAGGTTTATTTGAAGAAAGCTTTGTTTCCCCAAGTACAATTAGTTAGGTTCCTGGTGGTGGAAGGTTCAAGTCTCCTTTGTTCAAAAAAAAAAAGAAGGTTCAAGTCTCCGACCTTAAAAAAAGGATATTAAAACAACTGAGTGTTGTTGAAATGCGTATGTTGCGATGGATTTGTGGTCACACAAGAATGGACCGAGTTCGGAACGACGATATACGTGATCGCCTAGGGGTAGCACCAATTAAAGAAAAGCTAGTCTAATATCGGTTGAGGTGGTTTGGCCATGTCCAAAGCAGACCTCTAGAGGCACCAGTGCATTGTGGAGTCCTAAGCCAAGCTAATAACCTCAGGAGAGGTAGAGGAAGACCGAAATTGACACGGAGGAAGGCAATAAAAAGAGATTTGAAAGCTTGGGATATACCTAGAGATCTATGTTTGAATAGAAGTGCTTGGAAAACAGCTATTGAAGTGCCTGAACCGTGACTTGGGGCTCTTGGTGGGTTTCAACTCTAGCCTACCCAACTTGCTTGGACTGAAAGGCTACGTTGTTGTTGTTGCAAGTCTCCGACCTTAAATGGTAGCTCACGTTTTTTTGCCACTAATAATTAGTAGATGCATGTGGTGATTTCGTCAACGTCAAGATTTTAGCCTAGTGTCTCCAAGGTACTTATAGGTGCATACACGTGTTTCAAAAAGGAAAGAAAGAAAAAAGTGTTTTTTATTTAATATATGCATCTCAACAAGCAATGTATCTACTACATGAACAGAATACTTCATGTGTACAATAAAGACAAAGTAAAAATCAGTGGTTTTAAGAAAAGGTCAAATGCTTATAAACAAGATATGATAATCAAGTTCTAATCAAATTATAGCCAATGAAGATATAATGCACAGAACTGGCAGGATTACGATTAAGTCATCAGTCAACTATTGCAAAAACCAAATCACTTGATTCACTATTGCAGCATGGACACTCATGTTCAATGTGATTTAGGAATAACAACGTCTAACCGAAATTAAGATCAATAAGTTAAAGAAAGCAAACGCAGCAAGTGACACTCAAGGCAGTGAGGAACGTCAAAACGCTGAAAAAAATAACTTAACTATAGTATTGAACGCAGCAGCACCCTACTACCCTACGAGTACGAAATACCACTGCGAGCCACACTCAAGCAGCGAGGAACGTCAAAACGCAGAAGGTTCGGCTGCACCAGGCAGTTCACCTCGCCTCGCAAGTTCGCCATGTACAAAATCCCCAAATCGAACAGCTCGTGCATAACCATATATCACCAAATCGAATATCTTCCCCCCAAATTACCCAACGATTGATCAAATTTCCAACTAGAAGAGAAGCGCCGCCCGGCCGCACTGAAAGGCAGGGTTTTCAGGTTAAGGGCCTGCTGACTCACTTGTCACAGATCTCCTTGGGCGAGCACTTCTCCTCCATGGCCTTGGTCTCCGTGGCCGTACCGTACTCGTCCGTCCCGCATATGTAGAGCGCGTTGTACCCGCGCAGCCTGCAGTAGCGCGCGAACACATCGGCGCTCAGCACGCCTGCACAGCCGAATTAAACGCCCGTGAGACGAACGGCGAAGGGCGAGGGGATAATTCGGGGAGCGGGGAAGGCGGGGCGGCGGCGCGGGAAAGGGAAAGGGAGGGAGGGACGCTCACATCCGATGATGTTCCCGAGGTGCGGGACGTTGTTCACGTAGGGTAAGGCGCTGGTGATGAGTATGTTGCGGCGGCCGGGGATCGGCAGCTTCGGCGGCGGCGACGACGACGCCATGGCGGGCGGAGGTTTTGGTGTTGTCCGAGTCACAACCTACCCTCGTGGACTCGTCGAGCAGACGTTGACGGCGACGGGTTTTGCCTCTTCATAAACCGATGCCGCTCCGGCCATCTGACAGCCGGGCCCACCGTGGTCGTGAAGCAGGCCTGGAATCTTCCTCGTCCCATGGATTCTGACGCCGGTCGCTTTCCCGGGTTCGAACCGGACAGATTCTGGTATCTGTGCACCAACAGATTCTGACGCTGATGCACCCACGCATTACGCATATACGATGGATTGCAAATGCAGTTGGGTTCGGGTTCCACCAGACGAATTCCCCTACGCGGCTATGCCTTGAACTTGCTCGTCCATTTGTTGCCTTGCCCACCTCCCAATGGCGAGGCATTCAGGAAACAGGATTCAGAAGTGAGGCTTCTCCACGCATGCTATCTGAAGCTTCTCCGCACATGCCATTCAGAGAATTCCGGATTCCGAACTGTGAATCGCATCGCAGCCTCGGCCGCTAATTTTGTCCGCAGGTCTTGTTGATTGACTCAGGTCGCAGATTATGAGTTTTTTTAAAAAAAAAAAGGCGACAAGAACTTTGCCCGATTTTTATTAGACGACAAAAAACGAAAACAGAATTATGAAAGATTTAAAAGAGGGAATAGGCCACTAAGCAACACTCTAACTTGACCCTCAGGCCACCTCCTTGACCTATTCCCCCTGTCCAGCGACTAAAAATAAAGAGAGCTTTCTCTGAAGCAGAACACACACCCTGATCAAAACCTGACCAAGGAACACAGCTATAGCTAAGATTGTTGATGCTACTGGGTCCCCCCATGATTCCTCATCGCCAACTGGTGCTGCTCTATTTCTTCCTTGCAAAGAAAAGCTACTTGTCTTGGTTGCATCAATGTGTCCTGAAAAATTCTTCGGTTGAGCTCCATCCACAGATTCCACCGTAGGTAAATCATTATTCCGTCAAATATCCGTCTATGATCTTTATCAATTTTTGCGCGGCATTTTCGCAATTAATTGTGAATGGATCCCTCCATCGGCACCGTGTCTAGTAATGATAATCCAAGCCATTGTTTTAAAACTGCCCAAACTTCCTTTGTGAAAACACAATCCTTACAAAGATGTATTGGCGTTTCCAGATAGATACCGCACACCTTACAAGTCGGATCATTAGACCAATTGCGCTTGATCAAGTTGTTGGCTGTTAGAATTTTCTTGTGTAACAACGTCCACGCGAAAAATTTGCATTTGGGCTCCACCTTTGCTTTCTAAATCGGCAGTATTCTCAATTTGCTAAATAATCCTTGGAATTGAATGCCATAAGCACTCTTTGCTGTGTATTCCCCATCTACCGTCCATCACCACCGGATATTGTCTTCCCTGTCCTCATGGAGTTGAGTTTGCCCTATAGCCTCTCATAGCATGACGTATTCTCTTATTTCCTGTGCTGTACTTAATGGGGTTATACGAGAGATCCATGGGTTATCTTGTAAAGCCTTTCTTACTGACAGGTTCTTCCTTTTGGCCTTCTTGTACAAAGTTGGTGCGATGTTTTGTTGGCGTTCTTCCATGGACCCATGACGATTGCTAGAACTGGGCCATATTTCCATCCCCTATTGTTACCTTTGTTGATGCGGCGAAAAGGTCCTTGTCTCTACTATCGACAGGCAGATCAAGGCCGTTCCAACTTCCATGCCCTATCCCTGTGCTTCCATTGAAACCATAGCCATCTTAGTCTCGGAGCCCTTGCAAAGCATTCAAGGTGCAGACGTGCAGTTTATGAATCTGTTTATCCATTAGGAACGTTGTAAATCAGTTGGTTATCCTGATGACTGTATTATTTCCTTACACATAAATTTGTCACGGAGTAACAAGTTAACTAACCACCCGAAACATTGTTTTTCCTTTCAAGCTCTGCTGTTGGAACGAAATTAGCACCCTGTTCGCTTGAGCTTATTCAGAACTACTTTTCAGCTATGGAATAGTGTTTTCCTCTCACAGTATTTTAGCATAAGCACCAGCATAAGCCAAATTTCAGCATCAGCGAACAGGATAGGAGTTTCAGGGTGCCTGTCGGTGGTGCAGAGTGTACTGCTACATCTTTTTAGCACTAATCATTCAGTGAGTTTTTTTTTCTGAAAGAACCATTCAGTGAGCTAATTGTTCACATAAACATGTTTAATTCGTTCCTAATGGATAAACATGTTTCTAAGTATATGTACTTCTATCAGCCCCCGAATAAAACCCAACCCTAGGTAGTTGCCGCGGTTGGGTGTTACTTAAGACCAATCAGATCGGAAGTGAACCCGATAGGAGGTAACATTTTTCGGTTTTTGCAGAAACAATACTTAGTTCGATAAGCAAATCGGAAGCTTTGGAACGGAAAGACTAAGGGTAAAAGCGACATAGCTGCTCGATGTTCCAGGCGTTGGTGATGGCTTTGCCGTCATCGATCTTGAGCTTGTAGGTGCCGGGTCGGAGTACTTCTACGATGACGTATGGTCCTTCCCACGGCGCCGAAAGCTTGTGGCGATTTTTGTTGCTCTGGATGCGGCGAAGGACTAAATCGCCTACGCCGAAGGCGCGACCTCGCACGCGTCGGCTGTGATACCGCCGTAGCGCCTGCTGGTATTTGGTCGAACGGAGCAGGGTGATGTCGCGTGCTTCGTCAAGCAGGTCCATGGCGTCTTCCAAAGATGCTTCGTTTCCCTGCTCGTTGTAGGCCTTTACCCTTGGTGCTCCGTAGTCGAGGTCAGTCGGGAGGATGGCTTCGGAGCCGTAGACCATGAAAAAAGGCGTGTAACCGGTTGCCCGGCTGCTGGACGTCCTTAGGCTCCAGAGTACCGCGGGAAGCTTGGCGACCCATCATCCGCCAAACTTGTTCAACCAGTTGAAGATGCTAGGCTTGAGACCCTGTAGGACCATGCCGTTCGTGTAGGGGTGCGCTACGGCGGCCTAGTCGACGCGGATGTGATATTCATCGTAGAATTGGAGGAACTTCTTCCTGGTGAATTGCGTGCCGTTGTCTATGATGATGGAGTTCGGGACTCCAAGGCGATGGACGATGTCCGTGAAGAACAACACGGCCTGCTCGGATTTGATCAGGGTGATCGGCCGAGCCTCTATCCACTTCGTGAACTTGTCCACGGTGACAAGTAAGTGCGTAAAGCCCCCGGGTGCCCTCTTGAGGGGCCCTACTAGGTCGAGCCCCCAGATCGCGAATGGCCACGTGATGGGGATCATCTGGAGCGCTTGGGCCGGTAGGTGAGTTTGTTGAGCGTAGTACTGGCATCCTTTGCAGGTGCGTACGACCTGCTCGGCATCGCCCACCGCGGTTGGCCAGTAGAAACCTTGCCGGAATGCGTTTCTGACCAAGGTTCTAGGTGCGACGTGATGTCCATAGACCCCTCAATGGATGTCTTCCAGCAGGTCCTTCCCCTGCTCGGTGGGGATGCAACGCTGCAGGATTCTGGTGTGGCTACGCTTGTAGAGCTCCCCTTTGATGATGACGAAGGACTTGGAGCGAAGCGCGAGCCGTCGGGCCTCCGTCTTGTCGATAGGGAGCACCTCGTGGAGGAGGCAATCGGGATAAGGCGTTCTCTAGTCGGTTGGAGGGTCGGGCTCCGCCACTGGGTCTTTGACGAGTTTCGTGACCTCAGGGTCAGATGGAACTGAGGGTCGGTCAGCCCCCGAGCCTAGAACTGGCGGCTCATTGCCGGCCTGTTCTGGTTCCTCGTATCGGACCGAGGGCTTGTGCAAGTCGCTAGCGAAGATGCCGGTGGGGATCGGCTCTTGGCTCGATGCCATCTTTGCTAGCGTGTCGGTTGCTTCATTGAGCCGCCTTAGGATATGGTTGAGCTCGAGGCCGTCGAACTTGTCCTCCAACTGTCGGACCTCATGACGATACGCAGCCATCTTGGCGTTGTGGTAGCTTGACTCCTTCATGACCTGGTCGACGACCAGTTGCGAGTCGCCTCGGACATCAAGCCGTCGGATGCCCAATTCAATGGCGATGTGCAAGCCATTAACTAGTGCCTCGTACTCAGCCACATTATTTGAAACCGAAAAGTGGATGCAGATTGCGTACCTCATGTGCACCCTGAGGGGGGAAACGAAAACTAGCCTGACCCCGGCGCCCTTCTTCATCACTGATCTGTCGAAGTACATCGTCCAGCACTCCTGATCGACGGCCGCCGGCGGCATCTGGATCTCGATCCATTCGGCCACAAAGTCAGCCAGTACCTGAGACTTGATGGCCGTTCGTGGGGCGTACGTGATGCCCTGATCCATCAGCTCGAGCGCCCATTTCGTGATTCTCCCCGTGGCCTCCCGGTTCTGGATAACCTCGCCGAGGGGGAAAGATGACACGACGGTCACCTGATGTGAGTCGAAGTAGTGGCGCAGCTTCCTCTTGGTGATCAGGATGGCGTATAGGAGCTTTTGGGTCTGGGGGTAGCGTGTCTTGGAGTCGGACAAGACTTCGCTAACTGTCGGGTTCATGAACCCGGGGTCCCTCACGGACTGGCATCCCAGCAATGGCTCAGCCCAGCAGACGACGTCGTGAACAATGCGCAATTCCTAGGCCGGCCCAAACACCTAAACGACAGGCCAGAAGGGCGATCCAATCTTCGACCGGAAGGCCTCGCTAAGGAGGAACAACGCTCGCTTCTGACTCCAGCCCGCATCTTCGATCGGAAGGCCTAGCCAAGGAGGAACAACTCTCGCTTCTGACTCTAGCCCGCCTCTTCGACCGGAAGGCCTGGACAAACACCGCCTCCAACTCCGACCCACATCTCCGACTGGGGATGCACCGAACCCCTTCTTACAGCTCTTCTCTGACTGGCGCAGTTAGAGCCGACTGGAACCAACCGATCGGGGACGCCCGCTCGGTGAGGACTAGGAAAATGGACGGAGAAAGTAAGGCAGGGCACTCAAGTCAACCACGATACCGAGGACCGTACCCTACACACCTGCAGGACAGTAACCGATAGGACATA